GCACGACATTTGCCTTCTTCCAGCAACTGGGCAATTCTCCTGACATAAGTGACTCATTAAAGATCATTGCCAGAGGCACGCTGAGGGCCTGTGCTGCTTCTTTTAGTATCCACGGTGATACTTTGTCTGGTCCAACTGCTTTAGTTGCATCTAGAGTTGTCAACTGTTTCATTACCTCCTCTGCTGTCACCTCTATATCTGATAGTCTTTCATCTAGGGTAACCCCTTCCAACAATGGGAAGTGTGTGTGTGTGTGTGTGTGTGTGTGTGTGTGTGTGTGTGTGTGTGTGTGTGTGTGTGTGTGTGTGTGTGTGTGTGTGTGTGTGTCCCTTCCCGGCTGTGTACTAGTGAATAAACGCGACATTCCGGTCCCCAAATGTTACTAGTTGTGTAGGCTGAGGGAAGACCATGTGTGGGTGTTACCCCCAACACCCGTCACCCCCAACACCCAACTCCCCCAACACCCGTCACCTCCAACACCCGTCACCCCCAACTCCCCCAACACCCCCGCACTTAACACCGGCCACATGCCTAAAGTTGTCAGTGTGGCCGGTCCAGCCACACCATATTAGTAGTGGTCCACCCAGCCTAAGATGTTCCGCCCAGACCCGGAGACAAAGAGGTTTTGGGGTGGGGTCTCCTTCACCAGGGGGCAGAGAGGGAATGGGGTCTCCTTCACCAGGGGGCAGAGAGGGAATGGGGTCTCCTTCACCAGGGGACAGAGAGGGAATGGGGTCTCCTTCACCAGGGGACAGAGAGGGAATGGGGTCTCCTTCACCAGGGGACAGAGAGGGAATGGGGTCTCCTTCACCAGGGGACAGAGAGGGAATGGGGTCTCCTTCACCAGGGGACAGAGAGGGAATGGGGTCTCCTTCACCAGGGGACAGAGAGGGAATGGGGTCTCCTTCACCAGGGGACAGAGAGGGAATGGGGTCTCCTCACCAGGGGACAGGTCTCCTTCACCTGCAGGGAATGGGGTCTCCTCACCAGGGGACAATGGGGTCTCCTTCACCAGGGACGGAGAGGGACCCCATAGTGCAGGTACCTAGCTACTGTAGGCGGACCCCTACTGAGGATAACTACCGTGGGCGGGTCGCTACTGTGGGGTAACGACCGTGGGCGGGTCGCTACTGTGGAGTAACTACCGTGGGCGGGTCGCTACTGTGGGGTAACTACCGTGGGCGGGTCGCTACTGTGGAGTAACTACCGTGGGCGGGTCGCTACTGTGGAATGGAGTAACTACCGTGGGCGGGTCGCTACTGTGGAGTAACTACCGTGGGCGGGTCGCTACTGTGGAGTAACGACCGTGGGCGGGTCGCTACTGTGGAGTAACTACCGTGGGCGGGTCGCTACTGTGGAGTAACGACCGTGGGCGGGTCGCTACTGTGGAGTAACTACCGTGGGCGGGTCGCTACTGTGGGGTAACTACCGTGGGGCGGACCCCTACTGAGGATAACTACCGTGGGCGGGTCGCTACTGTGGGGTAACGACCGTGGGCGGGTCGCTACTGTGGAGTAACTACCGTGGGCGGGTCGCTACTGTGGAGTAACGACCGTGGGCGGGTCGCTACTGTGGAGTAACTACCGTGGGCGGGTCGCTACTGTGGGGTAACGACCGTGGGCGGGTCGCTACTGTGGGGTAACGACCGTGGGCGGGTCGCTACTGTGGAGTAACGACCGTGGGCGGGTCGCTACTGTGGAGTAACTACCGTGGGCGGGTCGCTACTGTGGGGTAACGACCGTGGGCGGGTCGCTACTGTGGAGTAACGACCGTGGGCGGGTCGCTACTGTGGAGTAACGACCGTGGGCGGGTCGCTACTGTGGAGTAACTACCGTGGGCGGGTCGCTACTGTGGAGTAACTACCGTGGGCGGGTCGCTACTGTGGGGTAACGACCGTGGGCGGGTCGCTACTGTGGAGTAACGACCGTGGGCGGGTCGCTACTGTGGAGTAACTACCGTGGGCGGGTCGCTACTGTGGGGTAACGACCGTGGGCGGGTCGCTACTGTGGAGTAACGACCGTGGGCGGGTCGCTACTGTGGAGTAACTACCGTGGGCGGGTCGCTACTGTGGAGTAACGACCGTGGGCGGGTCGCTACTGTGGAGTAACTACCGTGGGCGGGTCGCTACTGTGGAGTAACTACCGTGGGCGGGTCGCTACTGTGGAGTAACTACCGTGGGCGGGTCGCTACTGTGGAGTAACGACCGTGGGCGGGTCGCTACTGTGGAGTAACTACCGTGGGCGGGTCGCTACTGTGGAGTAACTACCGTGGGCGGGTCGCTACTGTGGAGTAACTACCGTGGGCGGGTCGCTACTGTGGGGTAACTACCGTGGGCGGGTCGCTACTGTGGGGTAACTACCGTGGGCGGGTCGCTACTGTGGAGTAACTACCGTGGGCGGGTCGCTACTGTGGGGTAACTACCGTGGGCGGGTCGCTACTGTGGGGTAACTACCGTGGGCGGGTCGCTACTGTGGGGTAACGACCGTGGGCGGGTCGCTACTGTGGAGTAACTACCGTGGATGCGTCGCTACTGTGAATAGCCACCGTGGGCAAGGTTAGGGCACGCGGTGAGACACGAGGATCAACCCAACGTTAGGGGTATCAATGCCCGGTGTGGTCACAGGTAATGAAATATTTCTTATCCGAGCTTAAAACCACCGAGAGAATAATGACGGTGGTTGAACACAATGTGTGTGAGTACAGTGATTACACTGTAAACTAATTCACTCTAATTATTGCCATGTACGCACACTACTGGTAGATTCACACACCCACACACACTCACATACACACATACAGAGGGAGCCTCGCGGCTGAGTGGGCAGCGCTCTGGGGTTGTAGTCCGAAGGGCCCGGGTTCAATCCCCGGCAGAGGCAGAAACAAATGGACAGAGTTTCTTTCAACCTGATGCCCTGGGAAGTACCTGGCAGTTAGACAGCTGCTACGGGCTGCTTCCTGGGTGTGTGTGTGTGTGTGCGCGCGCGTGTGTAAGAGAAATATATGTAGTAGACATAATAGAGGAAAAATAAATTGGTTAGAAAAGCGGGGTACAAGAGCTAATAGCTCGATTCTGCAGATACAAATAGTAAAGACACAGACACACACACATACACAGTTTCAAATGTACATATGACAGAGCCCAGTAGGCTCAGGAATCTGTACACCAGTTGACTGACAGTTGAGAGGCGGGACCAAAGAGCCAAAGCTCAACCCCCGCAAGCACAAATAGGTGAGTACACATACACACGGCCTGGACAAACTGGAGGAATAGCCTAGAAAATGGCTACTAAAGTTCAACTCAGGAAAGTGTAAAGTAATGAAATTAGGCGAAGGGAGCAGAAGGCTAAACACAAGGTACCATCTGGGAGGTGAAATCCTGAAAGAGACAATTAGAGGGAAAGACCTGGGGTTGATATCATATCGAACCTTTCCCTACAAGCCCACATCAAAAGGATATCATCAGCGGAATATGCTAATTGGCCAACATAAGAACTGCTTTTAGAAACTTGTGTAAGGAAACATTCAGGACCTTGCATACTACTTATGTCAGACCAATCCTGCAGTATGCAGCTCCAGCCTGAAGTTCATACCACAGTTAAACACAAGACAAAGTTAGAGAAGATTCAGAGGTATGCCACCAGACTAGTCCCAGAACTGAAAGGTATGAGCTACGAGGAAAGGCTAAGGAAGCTAAACCTCACGTCCCTGGAAGACTGAAAGACTGAGGGGAGACATGATAACCACCTACAAAATTCTCAGGGGAATTGACAGGATGGACAAAGACTAACTATTTAGCACGGGTGAAACACGAATAAGGGGCCACAGGGGGAACTTAGTACCCAAATGAGCCACAGAGACGTTAGAAAGAATTTTGTCAGTGTCAGAGTTGTTAATAAATGAAATACATTAGGCAGTGATGTGGTGGAGGCTGACTCAATACACTGTTTCAAATGTAGATATGATAGAGCCCAGTAGGCTCAGGAATCTGTACACCAGTTGATTGACAGTTGAGAGGCGGGACCAAAGAGCCAAAACTCAAACCCCGCAAGCACAACTAGGTGAACACACACACACACACACACACACACACACACACACACACACACACACACACACACACACACACACACACACACAAAATAAACTGGGTGGTAACGTTGAGATGAAATTTGGAAAGTTTCGTCCGTATATGGCTAGTACAAGATGGAGACGCCCAGTGGAACGTTAGTCCTCCCATGTCTCCCTCCCACGCCCTCCCATACCTCCCTCCCACGCCTCCCTCCCACGCCAGACAGCAGACGGCCAGGTAAGACGATGAACAGAAACAGGAAACATATGATCGCCTTACCTTGTAGGAAGTTTCATAATAAAAACAAAAAACAAAAACAATTAAGTTTAAGTCAACTGCTTAAATGTGACAGCCGAGAAATTCCGGGTCTAAAATCCCAGGGCAGGAGAGAAGCGTATGGGCAACTTTTCTCTCTTCACCTGATGCACCTGTTCACCCGGACAGTTATTAGCCTAGAGGGCCCCTGGCTTCCTGTCCCCGACTGTGGGGAATGACACGGGAGTACATATATGGGGTGGTATATAGGGGAGAACATATATGGGTAGTATATAGCGGGGTACATATATGGGGTGGTATATAGGGGAGAACATATATGAGTAGTATATATGGGAGTATACATGTAGTAGAGTACATGTAGGGAAGAATATATATACTCAAGTACATGTAAGGGAGTACATTTAGGGGCATACATATATGGGGGAGTACATGAAGTGGAGTATATGTAGGGATGAACACATACTCAAGTGCGTATAGCTAGGGAAATACATGTAGAGGAAGACATATAGAGAAGTACATGTATACAATGACATGCAAAAGAGTTCAAGTAGAAGAGTACATATATGGCACAACATGTAAGGTAGTACATATAAGGCAGTACATGCAAGGGAGTACATGTAAAGAAGTACATGTAAGGGAGAGTACAGGTACTCACCATGAGAACGGGCTCTGTCGAGGCTGATGGCAAAGCGCGTGTGGTCAGGGAAGGCCAGAGAGAGGATGAGGTGGTGAGGGGAGGGACTGGAGCCCCCCGATCTCCTAGGGGGCGCCACCCCCTGGAAGCTCAGCACCAGGGTCTTCTCCTGCAGTCCTGACCGCGTCGACGAGGTCAACCCTGCGTCAGAAAAGGAACAACATCTCATCAACTCAACAAGAATAAAAGAAGAATTTCTTCTTCTGACATAAAAGAAGAATTTTAAGAAGATGTTTGTTAAGTAAAATTCATGACGTTTCGAGTACTTCTCTTATTCATCATAAGATCTAAAATACAAACGATATATTAAAACAAGCAGCAAAACAAAAGACTCATATTGGACAGGAACACCTATTAAAAGATTAAAGGCAAAGCGACAATATTAACAAAACAAAATACCAATTTAAACTTACAAGAAGTGATAGAACAAAGTTATATTTGATAATTATAATGTGGATACTAAAATCTAATTCAAAATTATAATAATAACAGCAAACTTACAGAAAACTTATATAAAAACAAACAATTTAAAACACTAATAGATTAGCAGTTAAAACACCTTGTAAGACACATAAATATTTCTCAAAACTGATCACCAAAATTTATATTATATATCCTAATTTAAATACAACAGTACAAAATGTCAACGCTCGAAACGAGTACCAAAGACACAAATCAGGAGAAACTAAAATAAACAATAAAATAAGTCAACACGGACTATAAATGAAAACAGAAGGCCCACTGTGAATTATACAGTGGACAATTGAGTAGCTGAACCGTTAATATTTAGCAGAGGCCGCAGCTCCCTGATATATAAGGATTCCATTATTCTCAAAACCGACTGGCCATTCATGCAAGTGTCATAAAATGTTAAAATTGGATTCCACCAGAGCATAATATTCCGCGGAATATCATTTAGGACTGAATTTAACTTAAAAATAGACAGAATATATGTTTGTCTAGCACCAGACACTTGGAGCTAACCTCGTTGAGCTTTGCAGGGTGACTGTTTGGTGGTACGTGACTGCCATGGGAGGGTCGGGGTCAACCTCATTTTCCCCTCTTAAGGAGGTATTGGCTCCCATCATGACCTCCCCCCCCCCCCAAATGGTTATGTGGACAAAGTTGTTATTTTAGTAATTTATTTTCGGTGGACAGCATAATGGATTTATTGTTATGTTTCACAGCTCCACACACAGGGAAGTTTATTATTATGTGAGTTAATTAATTTAGAATTAGTCCATTCAATGCTGAATTGTTTGTTTGAAATTAAACTCAAGTATTTGGTCAATTGAGTTGACCGATTATAATTCTCAAATCATTTAACCCTCGAAGGCCCAGAATTTTGGCAGTTGCTCTACATGTATTTATATTGACACTGGGCTAAATATTATTTGTGAATTATAAATTAATGAATTATGGTTTACCTACAATTACTAAGTGAACAATTGAATGAGAGATGTGGGCTAGGGTGCGCCGTCCCGTAGTGGACAGTCACCTCCCCTTACATGGCTGGTGGGAGCTGTAGCCTCGTCTTCTCGCCCGCCACCTGCCGCTATGAAGTAGGGGGTAGAAATAGCCTAAGCTACTCTATCCCTTTGAGATGTATTTATTGCTTATCTCAATAAACATACTTGAACTTGAACCTGCCGCTAGTTTCACCATTAGGCTCACAATATCAGTTTATAATTAAGAGGATTTGTAACCCATAGTCTTTACATTTAAATTGAGTTTGGAATGAGATGACAGACACTACGGTGTGGATTTTCATGCGTTGTAACCGGGCCATACTAATGACTCTTAACCCTCTAATGGCTCATGTTATGCTGTCCAGAACAATATATTCATAACGGAGTTAGAGGTTAGTTTATTGTCTTAAGCGTGGGGCCTGACGGCTGAGTGGACTGCGCTAGGGATTCATAGTCCTAAGGTTCCTGGTTCTATCCTCGGTGGAGGCGAGAACATATGGGTAGAGTTTCTTTCACCCTGAGGCCCCTATTCACCTAGCAGTAAATAGGTACCTGGAAGTTAGACAGCTGCTACGGGCTGCTTCCTGGGGGTGTGTAACAAAAAAGGAGGCCTGGTCGAGGACCGGGCCGCGGGGACGACAAGCCCCGAAATCATCTCAAGATAACCTCAAGAAGCGTGGGTCGGTGTTGATCTATGTTGACCATGGAGGTGTATAGAACAACCGTAAACCAACAAGCGAAGCGTATATCTAGGGCGTAGATCATCAACAGTGTGAGCGTCAGTACACTGTGAGCAGCCAGGAGCTGGTGTCATGGCGGCGGCCTCCTGCACCACCTCCAGTAGGAGAGCCTCTTTCATTGTTATTTAATTATACGGAGCACAAGCTGTTTTTTAGTGAATGTGGATCAACAATGTGGATTTAGTTTAGTTTTTTAAGAACTGGATAATTTATTCTAACTGTATACTCTAAAATATAATTAGAGATGAATTCAGTCTGAATTGTTTACTATGGTGAGGTGTGACCCACTTGCCTAAGGGCGGCATAGACTAATTAACTACATAATTGTTGCATCAATATGATAATTCGACAAACTGAGGTCAGGTGGAAATTATTTCCCACACCCCCATGAAGTTAGAGGAGGTAAAAGGTGGAGTATCGAATCCAAGGAGTTTTACCATCTGTTTGACAGAATTCATATCAAGTTGGGTTACCTGTATCAGGTGGCTACAGGTGACGGATCTCCCAATCCTGAGCACTCCGGGTGCAAACTCTGTGAGCAGGACCTCGGAAACAAGCATTTTCAGAGCAGAGATGTGTGCGATATCTGTAGCCCTTGCCAGCTGCTGTTTTATTTAAGTAGAAACACCCTTTTGTTATGATGGTGGACACTTCCAGTGCCCTCGTGGCTCTGAATCTGTTCACCCTTCCCATCTACATGTGCTTAGCTGTGACCGGACACCAGGATATCTATGCTCACATCCCGGCCCAGAGGTCAAACTTTCCTCGTCATATTCTGGCCAGTGAAGCTGTTTGCCAGGGTTCCCTACCTGCAGGGCCTCGTGATTATCATTACAAGTGACAGGATGAACAACCCAGCGGGTTTTCTTCCTATTGGGGAGTGTTGTACATGCTGCTATGGCGGTATGTCCACCTACAGGATGAGTGGCGCTGCCCAATAAACTCGCCCCTCGGGGCAAAAATTTAAATTTTAATTAAATATAGCCATCTGAACTTGGCGTTGACTTTTGATAATGACTTCCCTTGAATATCAGTGAAGTCACGAGGACTAGAGGGACTGTAGCCTGTAACCTCCTCCGTCTCCCTGGTCCTTATAACCAAGCGGCCCCGTAACCTTAATCCTTAACTTGGCACCCCTCTCACAGAGTAAGGGTAGAGGAGGAGGAGGAGAGGGAGAGTCAGCTGAGGTGTGTCAGACTAATGTGTCTTCCGGGAAGCTTAGAGTTTGCTTGTTCTCGCTTACAGTTACCCGACGCTAAGAATTACAAACACCATCACTTAAACACCACACGATGAAATGGCGGGAAAAGAGCTGGAGAGGTGAAGAGAACACAAACAGACGAGAGAAAGAGGAGAGAGAGAGAGAAAGAGGAGAGAGAGAGAGAGAGAGAGAGAGAAAAGGGATCTTGTGATAATTCTAACCTGACGCATCGAGAACAGACAATGGGCGGCCTTGTACTCGCTGGTGACACAGCGTCACCAGCAAGAGATCGATGTTTCAGACACCAATTACGATGGTGCTTTGGCCTGAACTACTTCATTATTGTTGGTGATGCTTGAAGAGCATTTATTGGCGCCCCCTCCCCTTCCCCCCGAAGTCTTCACTAGTCTCTATACCCATAGCGATGGACATTCAATAATGTTGTGACCCATCTTCAATTGTGATCCAGACCTGTAGCCTCCAGACCTGTAGCCCCCAGACCTGTAGCCCCAGACCTGTAGCCTCCAGACCTGTAGCCCCCAGACCTGTAGCCCCCAGACCTGTAGCCTCCAGACCTGTAGCCCCCAGACCTGTAGCCCCAAGACCTGTAGCCCCAGACCTGTAGCCTCCAGACCTGAAGCCCCCAGACCTGTAGCCCCAAGACCTGTATCCACCAGACCTGTAGCCCCAGACCTGTAGCCTCCAGACCTGTAGCCCCCAGACCTGTAGCCCCAAGACCTGTATCCACCAGACCTGTAGCCCCAGACCTGTAGCCTCCAGACCTATAGCCCCCAGACCTGTAGCCCCAGACCTGTATCCACCAGACCTGTAGCCCCAGACCTGTAGCCCCCAGACCTGTAGCCCCCAGACCTGTAGCCCCAGACCTGTAGCCTCCAGACCTGTAGCCCCCAGACCTATAGCCCCCAGACCTGTATCCACCAGACCTGTATCCACCAGACCTGTAGCCCCAGACCTGTAGCCCCCAGACCTGTAGCCCCAGACCTGTAGCCTCCAGACCTGTAGCCTCCAGACCTGTAGCCCCCAGACCTGTTGCCTCCAGACCTGTAGCCTCCAGACCTGTAGCCCCCAGACCTGTTGACTCCAGACCTGTATCCACCAGACCTGTAGCCCCAAACCTGTAGCCCCAGACCTGTAGCCCCCAGATCTGTGTCACAGGGTCAACGGTACATATTCTTTAGGACAACTTCGATGGAATTGAACTGTAGCAGCTGTCTAACTCCCATGGAACCTAGTTACTACTAGGCGAACAGGTGCATCAGATGAAAAGAAACTGCTCATTTGTTTCTGCTTCGGCCGTGAATCCAATCCGGGGGATTTTTGGACTATGACTCCTGAGCGCTGTCCGCTCGGCCGCGAGTATGAGTGACGGAGAGAGTGTACGTGAGCGTTCACTTAACAAAAACTTAACTGGGGTCCCTGGCACTAATTACCTTACCACAGTGGGGAAGAGCTGGAGAGAGGAAGCGAAGCCACTGTTGACGGCACTGCTCCGCCGACCCCACCTTTACACAAATACCAAGCCAGGAATGTCAGGCCTAAGCATTTAGCTTTATGATATAGGGGAGAGGACGCGAAAGGTGGAGGCAGCGTGGGGGTGAGGGGGAATATCAAGCTGATCTTTCAAGCAATAGGTGGCGGTGTGTTCGCGCGCGCACCAGCCGTGGGAGGATAATAGGATCGCCCACATGTTTGTATGACCTTCTGCCTGGC